AAAGCAGCGACTTTGCCGTATCGACTCATTCTTTCAACCTTAGGGGACTCAAAGAAAAGAAGTGTACCTGGTAATACAAATCGGAGTTTGAAGAAGGAGAAGGAGTCCTCGACCCGCAACGGAAACACTCCTAAGGAAGGCCTCCGGAAGTCGAATGAGCGGGAGTGCAGTTGCTCCTCTTGTTCCTGCGGATAGGTCGGGCAGAGCGGCGCCTTTCATGGAAGAGAGAGTCCATGGCAGAGGTACGAGCGAGAAAGGCGGCCAGAGCGCTCTTCTCCTGCTCCTGACCCGTCATGGCACGATCAAAGCATGGCTGTTCATGTAAGAAGAAGACTATAAGAAGAATGGACTTTGATAGCCACTTTCTAGGCCGGTGAAAGGATGTATCTTTCTTTTCCTGCGAGGAGCAACTCTCCTTGTCCTGGAGGCTCTCCGGCCGGCCAGTTCGTCGAGAGCCCATCCACTGCAAAGACCATATGTAAGCACACCTGTACACCTACGGCTTCACTCTGATCCCGGCCTCCACTTCCAAGGGCAAGGAAGAAAAGCAGCATAACCCAGAACGGAACTTGATTCCTTGTGAGAGAGTCCCGCCTTCCGCCTCCGTCTTCTAGTCTGGTCTTTCCTATTGGTGTTGTTCCATCGGGGATTCAGTGTTCCATGCATCGATACCAGTTAAGAAGAACTCGTCCATCACCCATGAGATAGGGATCTCGTAGGAAATATATATATAGGCCAATCCAGCAAAGTTCGAATATCCCTTGTTTTCCTTAGTCAATGAAATGCTCTGCTTCTGCGCCTCTTCATACTTTTCGCTAGCTAAGCGAGCCCTTCTTGGGAGACCTCTAGATCCCTGCCCTGCGTGTTCCATTCTAGCTACCGGGGTGTTCTTTTTCTTCTCATACGAGATTTCGAAATAAGGTTCAAGATCGGCCACTGAAGGGGAACTAATCAAACTATGGATTTCTCTTATACTTAGCTAAACGACTAAACGAATAGGGTCATCGCTAGTAATCAACTGCTTGTTTTCTTTTAGGCTAGCCTATCTAAAGAGTGAAACTCGTACCTCCCGAAGCAACTCGTATCTTTGGATCAACAGGCCAACATGGGATTGAACTGGATTGGCCCAATAGATCAATCGCACGAGAACCAACCCTCATGTGTGATTCCCTGAAAAGGGTACCAAACTAGCTTTCTATATGAAATTTGCCTTGTAGAGCTTCCCAAAGGATTTCAATCCACCAAAGGGACTATTCAAAGCGTCCTCTACTTCGTAGGGTAATCACCAGACTAACCAATAAGGTTCTTCGTTATCCATCTTTCACTAGTGAGCTTCTCCGGTGAAACGGCAAAGTCGCTTCTTAGGTGAAACTGCTTTGTAGTGGCTACGCTGGGATGATTCCCCGTTTGGAAACGAGATACGGGTGTAGATATGTCGACCGGTTGTCACTCAGTCCCAGGGTGTTGACTCGATACTGGTGTTTTAGGCTACGAGTCTTGACTGTTACCCGGTATAGAGTAAAATCATATCACAGTTCCGATCAAAAGAGGAAGAGTCGTTCTATTCCCCAGTTGCAACTCAGTCACAATGCCTTGGGCCGCAGCTTCCCTGCGATATACTTTTCATAGTCCAAGGGTGGGTTGAAAATCCGATCTTTTGCCTATTCGTTTTCGTTTAGAGCTCGGGAATCGATGAAACGGTCTTTGTGAATATCCCAATTAGTGTATACAGTCAAACAATGTATATAGTCAATCTATAAATGAGTGTACAGTCATGAATACAGTGAGTCGATCAATGTGTATTCTATCAAACAATCAGTGTGAAGAGAACGGGGAATCGATTCATTCATCACTGGGCTGTGCGGTGTGAACGTGGGGAGTATGATTGGTTTAGTAAGCACCAACAAATTGGGGATTGAAGTGTAGGACCGGTTAGGGTGTTGAGTTGATACTGGTTTAGTAGCTATACGAGGATTTCCCACGGCAAAGTCGCTTTAGACAGGTTGGTTTTCGTCGACTCCGACCTTTTCCGATATAGCTTGTAGGGTTAGCGTTTAGTCGATACAGAGTTTCCGGTTAGGCGAGTTAGACGGTTTTCCGCCCTTAGCCACACCTCTGCTTTCTCGTTCACTGCCTTTCGCTTCGGCGGCTGCGTTTTTCGGGTTTAGTCGACGGGTTTCCGCACCGGTGGCTGCCTCGGATGAGACCCTTTGCCTTACCCTGGAACTCTATAGTTCCCCCTCTCACCCGGCTTAATATCAGGATTTATTACCAGAAAAGAATCGGCTATTGAGTAGGCACTCGTAGCAGCAAGATAGGTTGTCTTTGCTCTGTCCCTGAGTCATGTCCTAAGAGAATGATAGACTTACCTATTCATAGCCTTAGCAGTAGCTTCATCGACTACCAAAAGGCCGGAGCAGGATCCGAAGCGGTGTCTATTTCATCATACCAGTTTCATTTCAGAGCAGTAGAAGGCCCATTGGTCACGCTTCTCTACGCTTCCTTTCAATATGCAAAATGGAAACCTTCATTGCTTTGTCGGGAAGTTTGTCCTTGGCATACGCCTTCTTGCGCTTAGAATGACTGATCTGAGTATGCCTTTGTCTAGTCGATAGTCTGGTAGTGCGCGTCTCTCTGTATCGGATGTTCCTATTTAGAGAGTCGTCTTCCTCTGAGAGTGGAGTTCGCGGAGACTTCACTGAAGGTCCTGAAGCAGGATAGCCTAATTGCGGTTGACGATGTGGTCGCTTTAGTTTCATGTCCGCCTTGCTTGCCATAGCCTTTATATGATATGGATCGGGTTTGCCCACTGCTTCATCTGCAGGTGCTGGTACATCTATGTTGTCAGTTCCTTGATTCTTACAAGAAGAAGTTTTTAGATCCGATTTATCCTTACGAGATTTTTCGCAATGAATAATTTAGCTACAACTCTGTATAGACTAAACGAACAACCGGGGAAGCTGCAGTCGTCCTATATGCGCTGCAGCTACAAAGCACCTATTTCTGAGGGACACAGGGGACAACCGGTGCATGGGGAAGCGAAGGGAAGCTACGACCGGCAAAGCAGCAACACCAGTATCGGTACTAGTATCGTGGTATCGAAAGCAGCCTAACCTCCAAGCAGAAACAAACTCTGTATCGTATCGACACAACCCGTATAAAGCGACTTTGCAGTATCGACTAAACCGCCTTACCGGTAATCGACTGGAGCGCAACAAATATCAAAATGGAAAAAAACAAAATGATACTCAAGACTGGCTATCTCTCTCTTTATATACAAAAGGCGAAGAGTGACTACTGATTGATTCTCGTAGTTCCTCTCTTGTTAGTGTAGTGATACGGATACTCCTCTATGCGAATGTTCTGGCTTTCAAAAGACGAGTAAGAGGCGACCGATCTGTCTATTCTTATTCTACCGGTAAGTGAGATAATAAGCCTTTCTCGCCTTACGCAATAGCAGGGAGGGAAATCGAATATGACACTTGACTTGTGACTTTCCTTCAAGCAGGAATAGGAATGAATCCATAAGCTGCTATCGAACCGTCTCTTGCGAGAAGAAGGGTCTTCAAGAGGGTGGAAAAAGGGCTTGTGCAACCAAGAAAACGAATGCGCGGGAACAAGCTTAGGCGAAGGGAATGCGGAATCAGAGCAGCTGTCTAATATG